TTAATTTTAAGTTTGTATTTTTTTAAACTTTCGCATTGTCCTAAACTGTCTCCTTTTCTTCTATACTTTTTTCCATCGCTTTCATGAGCAAAATTAAAAAAATTTTAAAAAGCAAAAACAGTTAGAATACAATCTAATGTAGACAGTTTTACACACTCCAAAGAACTATTTATAAATTTATAAAAATAATATACTCAATGCCTACCAACTAAACATTTATCATTATTTATTTTTTATGTTTAAAGTTAATAAAAAAATAACACAATGCTGTTAACTTTCAGTCACCAAAAATTTGCATCACAAAAAAATTTTAATTTCACACACACAAAAAAAAGGCGTGCTTGTATACTCTCACCAGTATTATTTCAGCAAATACTACAAAAAATATCCATATTTCAGCATAAATTCTAAAAACGTTATCGATAAACTCAAAAATAAGCGTGATGAATACCCTATCTCTGAGTTTGTTAATCTGAGACCAAAATTGTACTCAATACTCAGAGCTTGAGCAAATAAATAAAATTACGCAAATAGTGTAAAAAAAGTAGTTAATAAAAATGATTTAATAGTTAGTCACATAGAAATGTTTAGATGATTTGAAAGAAATATATATTCAGATTACAATTAATAGCCATGGACATCAAACAGGTGTATATGAGTAAATAAAAATATCACTCACTCCTCCTGACATAAGGAATGGATTAAACCAAACGGTAATAACACCAAACCCTATGGGTGTTGGATGAGTTCATAAGATAGCGTTTCAGGTACTGCTGTACAGATACAAAGAATGAAAGTGATTGCTAAAATGTAAAATAAAAAACTGGAACTACTTGTTCCAATTCTTCTTTGAAAAACTGCTCATTCGGTTAATGACGCTTTAAACGTTGAAGATAAGCAAGATGCAAGTGAAGTCAAGCAAATTCTGCTAGCAGTGTTCTCATAGGATGTTTACGTTGCATATGAGTTTTTTTATACCATTAATTATTTCCATTCAATTAACTTTTATTTAAGTTAATGGTATGGTGGCGACAACTATAGTGGACACGGGGTGTTTAAAAACAATTCTAAATCACAAGTTTTTGTCTAAAAATTAAAATAAAAGTTTAAAGTTCTCAATACAAGATACCAAAATATGCTGGACGGAATATGAAAATAAAATACAGGGTTAAATCAAGTGAAAACGATTACTAAAGTAATTTATTTAAAGTTTACCGCCTCTGTTTTTTTATTGTTTACGCTTTCTGAATGGAATAATTTATTATTTCAAGATGGCCGAATAAGTCTCGAGTATTTCAAAAAATGATACTAAATACTGAATACAATTTTTTAAATGGGGCTAAAAGTTATGATTATTTATGCAAAAATGACTTGGGTAGAAAAATTAACTCTACCATAGGTTATCTAAATCAAACGTGAGATTATTGTTAAACATACTCACTTAGGTGTCGTATTGAAAATAGTAACTTCAATTTTCGTAAAAAAAATGCTTTTTTTATAGATAATTTTCCCAAATTCAGTCTGATTAGAAATATCAAGTTCCATTCATTGAAAACAAGCACCAATATGTGCTTTTTTGAAAAAATCAAATTTATAGACTTATCTATAGCCAAGCCCAAAGGTACTTTATGTTGAAAAATCATCTTTATTTAAATAAAAACACGCTTAAAGATTTGCTATAGTCGCATTACTTTTACCAGATTATAATAGTGGTTAAAATAATCTTTCCACACATACCAAATATGTCACATTTTTTGATGAAAAAACTTACATATATTGTAATTGAAAAAACTTATACTTTTGTTCAGAAAAACGTGTACCTTAGTTGCATTGAGTAGTCTTAGTTAAAAGATTATTGGTAAAACGGTGTTTTAATTATTAAAAAAAAATCAAGAAAGATGCCATAGAAAGCTATGGGTGTTGTGGATTATGGTACTGAAAATATTTTGAATATAGTAGGTTGTGGACCTTGAAGATATGCAGTGTGGTGATAACAGTCAAGTTCATACTGAAGTGCTGCCTATTTCGAATTCTCAGTCTTACTTTTTGTGAACGAGGAGCGCTTTCTAAAAATCTCAACAGACAATGAGGCGAAATTCAAGACTATTTAAGGACTTTTTTTTATATTTAGGAAGTACTTATTCTTTTCTGAGCCGCCGATTACCCTGGAGGAAACGGAAATGCAGAAAAAAACCATCGCACTATAAAAAGAATAGCAAAACTATTGAAAGAATTGATGTAGAGAGCTTTGTATTGGTACAATTTTGTTTTCAACAAAAATAGCGTACAACTTATAGAAAAAAATAATTTTTCAAATTGGTATCAAGGAATTATGAAAAAAAAATTTGGAAGAAAATGACAACCATAAAATTTAAAACTATCAATTAAGTTACGCTAAACAACCTAGTATAAAACTGCCATATCTAGAAGAAGTCAGCGTATAATATAATAATTAAGGATGTTTAACAAAAAATTATAGAAGTGGATAGAGTGCCACGTTATGTGTAATACATCAGACCTCAATTTAAAACTTAGCCATTATGCCATATTCCTGACGTGGAAATAGATGTGGGTGACAATTGTGAAAATATCGCAGAAAACAGTAAAGACCAAAGTAAAACTGTTTCCAAAGCAAGCGAAGTGCAGATTGAGGCCATGAATAGTCTTTAAGTGATCGTGCCTTTGAAACGAAGTGGTTGTGCCTTTGAAACGAAGTGATTATGCCGTTGAAACAAAGTGATCGTGCCTTTGAAACGAAGTGGTCGTGCCTTTGAAACGAAGTGGTCGTGCCTTTGAAACGAAGTGATCGTACCTTTGAAACGAAGTAATCGTGCCTTTGAAACGAAGTGATCGTGCCTTTGAAACAAGATGAGCAATGTTTATTAAAAAGATATATTGACTGTTATCTATATGACTCTTAAGGATCAGGTGGAATGTAGTTATAATACGTAAAATGCAAGAATAATTGTTTTTTAATTGATAGTTGTTGTAATATTATTATACGTTTCAAGTTTAATTACATATATTTATGCGGGTGTTTATATTTATTTTTAAGGTTTATAAAGAAATATAAATTGTTATTAAAGTTTTGTAAGGAAAAAGTTCTAATTAAGTAAGAAGAAAAAACTTCTTAATTTTAGAGTTAAAAAAAAAACTGAAAAATATTCAATAGTTAGTGTTAAAAAAAACAACTGAAAAATATTCAGTAACACATTTATGAAATCCTGCGTTCAGAAACAACCTGAAACAATCTTGACCATATGGGTAAAGACATCTGTATCCAGTGCCACTGTCTTTTTTATTAAAGGTTCAGCGTCTTCATAGTGGCTGGCCATATCAACAAAAGGTATTTCTAAGTGTGCCAGCCAACTTGATTGTGTGGTAGATAGAGCAAGTTTTCTTGCTGGACTATATTAGCACTGCATTAGTTATTTTTAGGTCTTAGCTTTTACTAATGAGCTGGTTGGTAAACGTGCCGAATAGTCTACTTCTATTATCTTTTGTAGCTGTTGCAATTTTCTAAATAACAGGTCTGCACCAATAAACCTTTTACTGTAGTATACAATAGTTATAGCAATAGTTTCTTATCTAGTAATCTGAAGTCAAAAGAAACTCTAACACAGTATGAATTTATAAATGTCCTGGTAAATCATGTGAAGGAGATTTTTGTAAAAAAAAAAATAAAGGTGGCGAGACTTTAACAATATATAATTATAATTAGTTTGATGACATTGCTCTTTTAGTATTTTCTGTTTTTTTATTAACTATACTATTTATAATTGACTATATATTCTATTTTAATGTAAAAACATCCGAATATATAGCAAAAAGTTTTTCATAATTCAATTATGTGATCAAATTTCTTTTAAAAATATGGTTAAAGATTTAAAGATATAGTAGTAATGAGTTATATAATACTTGATATATTGCTAGACTCAGTCAATCCAAAGTTGTGTCAAACAAGTATACAAAAAAACATTGTTAACTAGTTTTGCTAACACTTTTGCACTAATACAAGTCAATCCAGAGTACCACCATACTACGCAACATAATACAAGTCAATCCGGAGTACCACCATACTACGCAACATAATACAAGTCAATCCGGAGTACCACCATGCAACGCAACATAATACAAGTCAATCAGGAGTACCATCATACTACGCAACATAATACAAGTCAATCCGGAGTACCACCATACTATGCAACATAATACAAGTCAATCCGGAGTACCACCATACTGCGCAACATAATACAAGTCAATCCGGAGTACCACCATACTACGCAACATAATACAAGTCAATCCGGAGTACCACCATACTACGCAACACAACAAAAGAAAATCATAACTAGTTTTGCAAAAAACTTTTGTCTGGTTACCAACGCTAGTTTTTATCTACTAGACATATTAGCATATCTTCTTGGTATGGCTTCCGTACGGTACGGGAAGAAGATAATGCACAAATATTGAACATCTTAAACAACTAACGCAAATTTTTCTTTGATACTATAAAGTTTGAACTGGAAAAAACGAGTTGCTTTTTTGTAATTAACAAACAAACAACAAAACTTCTTTTCTAAAGTTTAAATATTAACTTTTCGCTGTTTTTTAAAAAATAACAGTTTTAAAGTGAATAAAGTTATAACAATTATATTATATAAATTAAATTTAAAAAAGTTTAATGCATATTAACTTAACTTTATTAATTTATTTATTTTACTCTTTTAATTTTTAGATATTTTTTTTTTTTTTAGATATTTATGACATGAACAATAAAAAGATTATTTTCACATTACGAAATATATTTGTTCATTTTATTTTTATTTCGTATTGTTCGTTATTATGGTGGAAACTAATAGAAATTGGTCTGATTTCAAATTACAAAAGTCTAAACCTTATTATAACTTTTGTCGTTTGGTCGTGTGCATTTTTAATCATCAACTTTGTTTCTGGCTATTTGGCAAATAAAGAAAGGTAAATTTTTTGGCAAATAAAGAAAGGTAAATTATCTAGGTAAGTTTATTCTTTAAGCTGGAAATAAGGAAGTTATTTAGAAAAAAAAAAGTTATCAAAAAGTAAGCTTATATAAAATCTTTATATAGGTTACTTCTTTAAATTCAAAGAATTTCTTTATCTTATATGATTAATCTTTATTTTATAAATATTTATTTAAGATAAATATTTTATCAAGGTTTTCATTAAAAACTGAAATATTTTGTTTACACTAAATGCAGGTTGTTGCTATAGAAATAATTTAACCAAATTTAGTTTTTAATTTATATCTTAAATAAACACATTTTATTTAACAACTTATTGTAAATACACTTAAGGTAGTCGCTACTTCGTTACATCTGTTAATTTAACTATATACACTTAGTTATAAAATTAAATATATTTAATTTTTAATTTACGCTATTAGTTTTTCTGACAGAAATATCATTTCGAAAAAAACATGTTTTGTTTAAGAAATTATTATGAAAACACTTGAGATATTTGTGGATTCAATATTACGTTTTACGATTTACGCTTCAATATTACTTTTTACGATTTACAATTTACGATTCAATATTACGGTAAAGGAGGAAGTGTCATCAGCTTTTTTTACATTTAGGAACAACTTTTACCGGCTGTTTTTAACTTATAAAAACAGCCGGTAAAAGTTATATTCACATCTTTACCTATAAAAAAGATATTTGACAAGTTATTTACCTAAAAATAACTCAAAATGTGGTTGCTAAGGGTGTTTTTAAGGATATATTTTTTGGGTACCTAAATATAACAGCTAATATCTTTTTTTATAGAGTTTGTTTTCAATCCAAATTTTCAGAGACTATTCACAAGTGATGAAATAATAAATTTTTTTTTTTATAAAAATAAGCTTTTATGAGTGGAGGACCCCATTGAAGCTGACAGGCATTTTTTGTTAACAACGTATATGCAACGTGTCGCGTACAGTGTATCCACTTGACATGATTTATAACGTTTGTAAGATTTTTTGACCTCTTATTTTGAGAACTATGATTCATGATTTTATGTAAGATTTTATGATTTTTATAAGATTTTTCTGTTTTTACTTGGAATAAAAATAATTTTCACGAATTTATGAATTAACTGTAAAATCTATTTTACTATCGTGAGTTTGGTCAAACAACATTGTACACGCTAGTTGTCACGTCGATAATTTAAAGTTAGTTATTGCGTAGTAATTTTTTTGTACGTTTTAATGACTATTGTAACCATTAAGAATTATCAAAGCGAGAAACTTTGTAGGGAAGACCGGGGAGACCGGGGAGACTTCGGACAGTTTTTACTTTAATTGAGCTTAACTATTGCATTTTTTCAAAGTAAAATATTTTTTTGTCAAATTAAAATAACTAAAGTATATTTTCACATATTAACTTTTTTTATATTTCTTGCTTTTAATGTTTAAAAACTATTTTAAAAATGCTAATCAAGTGTTCCCGCTTGTGGGGTGACATCGGACACTTGATTGGACATCAAATAAATAAATACGCAGTTACGTAAATGATAGTTTATTTTTTATTTATAAATTATTGGTATTTCATTTATGAATTATTGGTATTCATCCAAGTTGCACTTAAAATATATCATGTTCTTAAAACTATACATCGCGGCACATCAAAATGATCAGCATTGCTGACATTAAATCCATCTTCATCAAGGTTATATGTAACCAGGTTATGTGCATTATTGTTAAATATTGTTTATTCTAGTAACTACTATTCTTTAGTTTAGCGCTACTAGCGGTATTTCATTTATATACATTGATTCGAGAATTCATTCGTTCAAAATTAATTTACGAGAAAATTATGGTGTTACAATCGTTAATGATTGTGCAAATAACCATTTATCATAAAATTCTTGCTAAAAAATTAAAGTATTATGGTATAACAGGCAATGTTCTAAAATGGTTGAAAAGTTATTTAACTAATCGTAAACAATTTGTTTACGTCAATGAAACATTTTCATTAAATTTGTTAAATATTACATGTGGAGTTCCTCAAGGATCTGTATCAGGACCGCTTCTTTTCCTTATTTATGTAAATGATCTATACAAAGTCTCGGATTTAATAATAATTATGTTTGCTAATGACACTAATTTATGTCACACAAAAGCATTCCTACTCTATACAAAGATACAGTATACAAATTGAACAAGTAACAGTAACTAACTTTCTAGGTGTTTGAATAGAGAAAAATCTTACATCGAAAAAATCACATTAAAAGCTTATCAAGTAAAGTTTCAAAAAGTATAGGAATATTGTACAAAGCAAGAAATGTTTTAAATAAACATACTTTAATACAATTGTATCACTCATTTATTCATTGTCATATAAACTATGCAAACAATGCTTGGGGTTGTACAAATGATAATAAACTTAAACCTCTTTATTGTCAGCAGAAGCATGTTGCACGTCTTATATATTTTAAAGACCGTTATACTCATGCCAAGCCTTTATTACTTGAAATGAAAATTTTTAATATATATAAGCTTAACATTATAAATATTCTTTGTTTTATTTTTTAATTGGAAAACCAATTCATCCCCTATCTTTTTCCATAATTTGTATTCATCAAAAGGTAAAAGTAAATACATTTTACGCAATGATAATTTTATTAAACAGCCCATTTTTCAAACAAATCTTTCTAAATTTTGTATTGATTATCGTGGACCATTCCTATGGAATAAAATAGTTTAAAGAAATTTAACTGAGGATTTTATTTATCAAAGTAACTATTTTTCTTTTAAACGAAAGAAGAACTCATTTTTACAATCGAAGATTGTAGAAATGAGTTCTTTAAGCTTTCGTTTTTACGAAAGAACTCGTTTTTACAATCGAAGATTGTAAAAATGAGTTCTTTAAGCTTTCGTTTAAAAAAAAATAGTTACTTTGATGAAGAAAATCTTCCTTTTTACCCTCTACTTAAACATGAGTTTATAAAAATCATATATATATCATTAACAACTCTAATCCGTTATCTTGTATTTTTAATGGAATACTTTAAGTTTCTTACCATGGCCGACAACACCAGGGGGTGGGGTGAGATGGGGGGCAGGGGGCACGTGCCCACCTACTTTTTTTCTAGAGGCTTTTTTTTTTTTTGTTTTTTAAGAAAAGATTTTTTAAAGAAATGTTTTTAAGATATAGAGGACTTTTTTCACAAATTGATGATATTGCCCCCCCCCCCCCCACTTCAAAAACCGTGTCGTCGGCCCTGCTTACGTCGTTATTTATTTTTTATCTAGTAAATATAAATTTTTATACAAATATTTCTTAGCGAAACTCGACGACAAGACCGTATGATCTTCTACGAATCAGTAGCGGATTAAGACTTCTTGGGGCCCGGGGATAATTTTGTTTTTAGAGGCCTTTTTATAAGCCAGAGCCTAAAAATGACAGAAAAAAAATAAATAGAAATTTGAAAACTTTAATAATTGTCCATAGGGAATTGTTATTTAGCAATCATTACAACAAATCATTACATTGCATCGAACAATTTGATTTTATACAATGTGTCCTAAGTCTCTTCATAAGGAATGTATTGAAAAATCATAGGAATTGTTACAAACTTATTTATAGATCACAATGTAATTTTTTTAGAACAATTGTAAAAATTTCTAAGGACTCTTTAATCCAACAAATTATGTTAAATGTGTCTGCAGAAGAGTTCATAACCTTTGTTAAAAAAACATTAACATTGATGTAAATGATCTTTCCTACCCTCCAGATGTCAGCGATGAACTCTCAAATGTTCTCAGATGAGGATGCAAAGCATTCATTCAATTTAATAAAAGTTGTTATAGAAAATTTAAAAATTAAAATTAAAAATTCTTTTTTTAGAACAATTTTTTAGAGCTTGTTGTAAAAAAGTTGCACAAACTCTGGCAGAGCTTGTTGTAAAAAAGTTGCACAAACTCTGGCACAGCTTGTTGTAAAAAAATTGCACAAACTCTGGCAGAGCTTGTTGTAAAAAAATTGCACAAACTCTGGCAGAGCTTGTTGTAAAAAAATTGCACAAACTCTGGCAGAGCTTGTTGTAAAAAAGTTGCACAAACTCTGGCAGAGCTTGTTGTAAAAAAGTTGCACAAACTCTGGCAGAGCTTGTTGTAAAAAAATTGCAAAAAAACAGAGTTTATAACTAGGATCTGAATAATTCATTTGGGAAAATTTTACATCAAAAAATTCATTTGGAAAACTTTACATCAAATAGCTAAAAAATTGTTTTTTTACTCTAAAAACTGCTTTTAGTGCATAGTTGTCACCTAACTATTTTAAAGCTAAGAGCGTCTACCAACTTATCGATCATAGACATCATTGTCCTAATTTTAACAGGGTAGGTGAAATTTTAAGTGTCCCCGGTCTCCACTCTATAAAATGCTTCGTGTACGTTTTAATGATGGTTGTAATTATTGTCAAGAGAGTTAAACATTGTATATATAATAGTTTGTGTGATAAAATAGACCAATTCAAAATCTCAAACATTTATATAACACAATAATGCAACATCTAGATGACAACATAATCAACAAATCAATCTAATTCTAATTTCAATATGGCTGATAACTTTGATGTAAAAAACCATATTGAAAATTTGATGAGCCTGCATCAAAATAAAAAAGATAAAAAAAAGATTTATTAGTTTTTTTTTTTTTGATTAATCATAGTACTTGGAGTTTGTAGACTCAAAAGGAAAACTTGGCTCTTACTAATTTATAAATTGGAAACATAATTTAATAACTCTATAAGCCTATTTTAGTAAGTTTAATTATTTCTTTAGTATATCTAATTAGCTCTTTTATAATTTTTTTTGGAGAATTGAAAAAATTATTTTTGAGATAATGTATACTCCCAAGATCTATAGGTCGGTCATAACTTTTTTCTTTTTCAGATATGTTGAATTTAAAGATTTTTTTTTTAACTTAACACCTACTAAATTTCGACATTTTTTACTAAACTTTTTCTACCGCCTTAAGATGTGATATCCACAAATTACTCACTTTTTTTTCTTCTAAGTAAGTTTAATTTCAAAAACAAACTAACGTCATTATCATTAAATTGAAAATTGAAAAAAAATTATTTTCAAAAAAATGTGTACACAGTATTTTGAAAACATTTGCCTAAATACTGGGTGTGAAAAAGCTACCAAATTTTTTGCGTGTATTTATACATGACACAAAAAACGTGACATCCGTAAAGTTCCTTCTTTACTATTCTCATTTAAGGGTGGTACATGTGGGAAGTATATACTTAGTTTCAATGTTTCAATGGTTTAAAACTAAGTTCTTACTTCAAATGGCATTTGAGGAATTTTTTTTTTTTTTTTTTTTTTGTTATTCACCTCCTTAAGGCCGAGAAGGCCACTACAGACGAGGAGGCTGCTTAAGAATGGTTATAACCCTCTCTCAACTCTATAACTCCGAAACACGAACCTTGACGAACACAGCCGCTGCGCGGAGAAACAATTTGAGCGCGGTACTACCAGGGACGTGGTGGGGATCGAACTCCCAACCTCTCGCTTATGAAGCTTATGAATTGATACTTAGAAAGGTTTATTTGAGGTTACATTTGAGAGTTTTGAAGGATAAGTAGTTTTATTTTATAAGTAGTTATTAAAATGAATAAAAGTTTTGTTTTTTATAAATTATTTTTACTATAAAAGTACTATTTTTAATTTAGACCACCTAAATACTTTTTAAAAACTTGGTTGAACATACCTATGTTAATTTTTGTTGTATTTAACCTTCCTCCATATGGCTTTACGTTAAACCATATTTATGGAACGCAAGAGGTGAATTTTTTATAATATATGATTTTTCCAAAATTTAGGAAATCTTAATCAAGTTTTATTTCTCTTATCTATAAAATTTTTTAGAACGATTATGTAAATTGGCAAGACTACAGCAAAAATATGATATGCGTTGAACACAAGTCCAGAATACCTGACTTTATTATTCTTCAGATGGCGATGCCCGTTCTCCTTTTGACGTTTATAATTTATCCTCTGCCACAAAGAGCGTATTCAGGAGCAGAATATTTGGCAATTGCACTGGAGTTTATGAATGCATTTGATATTATGGATATGGTACCAGATATTTTTTACATACGAGGTTATGGTATTGGCTGGTTTGTTATATTTTATACTTCTCTTGGCATTTCTGTTATTATGCTTTCGTTTCCCGTAAAAATTGAGACCGACAATATTTTCTGGCCTGATTTGTTAATTAAATCTTCAAGCGTTGCAAAAAATATATTAAAGGAAAATAGCTGTTCCCTTTCAAACAATCCGCATACAATTGTCACATCTAATACTGTAACAAATGAACAAAGTACTTCAAGTATTTCAAGGATGCAACAAAATTCGATAACAAAGAAAAAAGCTTTAAAATACCGAAACTCAATTTTGCTCAAAGTGTTGAAATCCTTTTTTACCATAATTTTTATGGATGGGTGTTTTGCTCTAATTCGATTTAAAATAATGATAAACGAAAGTTCTGCAGAAATCGGGTTCAACATGTTTGTTAAAAATGTCATACTGGCCACACTACACCTGATTTACTTTGTTAAACATTTGCGAAATTTAATTAGTCTAAGCAAACATTTGAAGCAAATTTGTGAACAAAATAAATCTTAAGTAGCTAAGTATTGTAAATAAAAACACTTCTTGGTGTAAAACCTTTTACAAATGCCACTGGGTTGTCAATAATCTAGAGCACGCAATTTTTGACCGTTTTTGACCCATTCTCAACCCCCCTACCCTCTTCTTACAACATGATAACTCTTTAGTAACAAGCCTCGTACAAGTTGTTTAAAATCTACCCTACCCCCAAGAGCATGATGTAGATTATGAACGATACCTTAATAAATTTAAATAAAACAAAATATAACTTTCTAAGTTATTTTACAATACCAATAAAGGTTGTAATCAAACAGCTGATATTTTTTCGAAACAACTATTTTTTTAAACTTTATTTTAGGAGTCTAACGTGGCATTTATTTTAATTTATGGTTTATTTATTTGCACTTTTTGCCAATAAGAAAAAAAAAGAAATATACACTCGTAACTTATAAAAAATAATTAAATAACTGGGGCAAGAAGACAAATTTAGCCTCATCACCAAGCCCCAAAAAATGCGCCTTTACTAGATAAAATATAGTTTAACAATAAAATATAGTTTCAATGTATATATCTCTGAATTAATAATAAAAAGAAAATGTAAATATATCGCTTAGTGTTTAAAATTTATAGTTTCTCAAAGAAAAAGATTTAAGAATTGTTTTGAATAATGAAAGAAACAAAATTTAATAAAATATTAAAATGACAAAAATAGCATTTAAAAATTAGTTTAAAAAACTAAGAAGATATGATTTCATATAAAAACATTTTATTGTTAGAGCAATTTATAGTTTAACTTATTTAATTAAATTTTTAATACTTTTTATTGACAATTTAGTAAAAGCAAATAAATAGTAAAAAGTAAAATTCATGGAATAATAAACAGCTAGGGCCGTCCCAAAGAGATTTTAAAGGTGAGGGGGGAGGGATACTTGTCTATTTTTTGCCGACTAAAGCCAAAAAAATTTTGATGTCTAAATTTGATGTTAAAATTTTTTAGCGTTTAAAAATTATACCATATAAACTTTAAAACCCCTCAATTTGAGGGGTTGCAAATTTTATATTGTCAATTTTTGAACGGTGAGAGAAAATGCTATGAAACTTAAAATTATCGATGAATATAAGTCTAGTTGAAAATAGAACAAAAATATTTTATCAACTTGTTGCTCTCACGTTTGGAGCAAGGGGGGACAAAATTTTTGGGCTTTTTTGTTCCCAGGCTCTAATCATTGCAATTTTTTGCTAAGCATTCTTATTTGACATTAGCATAAACATAAACATTTCCTCCATGCCTGGAAGTTAGCTAACTCAAAGACCAAGAAATGCTTTTGGAGCCCTTGAAACTATCTAAACCTAAATAAAGAACTTTTTGTTATGGACATGAATCGATTTAATATTAGAGCTAGTTATAAATAAACCAACTAGGGTAACAAAAAGCTCTGCAACAGCAATCGATAATATTTTTATTAATAGTTATATAGAAACGTCATTTGAGACAGGTATTTTTAAAACTGACATAAGTGATCACTTCCCAATATACATTAAAATTAAATAAAAAATCTTTTAAATGTCACAGCTAAAGGGGCTTCTAAGATTGTAACTAAAAAAAAAAGCGCAACTTATCAACAATTAATAAAAATAATCAAGAGTCTAAAACTAAAGCAAGAGTCGTGGAATCAGGTTTTTAAATGTGATAATACAGATAAAGCTTTTAATATTTTCCTTCAAACATTTCTTGATATATATAAAGAAATGTGTCCTTATGAATTTAACTCTAATAAAATGTTCAAAAAATAAACAAAAACTTTACAATAAATTTTTGAAAAACAGAATTGAAGATAATGAAGAAATAAACAAAAAATATAAACGGTTTTACTGAAATCTTCTCATAAAAGCTAAAAAAAACTATTATAGTAAAGAACTTACAAAAAACAAATTCGATGTAAAAAAAACATGGGATGTAATTAATAATACAATGGGAAAAACAAAATAACTACGGCTTTACTGCCTCAAAGAATAAAGATCAATAAAACTTATATTTATTGTCCTTTGAAAATCTCGAATGATTTAAAAAAATACTTTACAAACATTGGCCCAAACCTTGCTAAAAAAATTATAACCATACCCAACTCGTTTCAATTATATCTTAAATCGTTAAATGACATAATACTTCACGATAGCGACTTTTCTCTAAAAGAATAAAAAACAGCCTTTTCTTTTCAAAAAAAAATAAATCACCTGGCTTTGATGACGTTTCTAGTAATATAGTTAATTTAAACAAAAATTACATTTCCAGACCTTTGATCTATATTATAAAACTTTCAATAAATGAAGGTATTTTCCCTGAAGCACTAAAGTTGGCAAAAGTATGCCCAATTTACAAAAAAAAAAAAGATCAATCAGAAATCTCTAATTATAGACCTGTATCAGTACTTTCTGTATTTTACAAAATATTCAAACGTGTAATCTATGATAGAATTTATAACCATTTCAATGAAAATAGTTTATTTTACACAAAACAGTTTGGTTTTCAAAAAAACCATTCAACTGAACATGCAATAACTTTACTCTAGGATTATTTATTGACCCATCAAAAGCATTTGATACGGTTGATCACCTTATTCTTTTAGAAAAAATTAATCATCTAAAATAATAATAATAATAATAATAATAATAATAATAATAATAATAATAATAATAATAATAATAATAATAATAACAATAACAATATAAATAATAGTAATAATAATAGCAATAACAACATTAATATCAATAACAATAATAAAAATAGCAATATTTATAACACTAAGAGTTTGAAATAGAATAACGATATAAAAAATAAAAATAATTTGAGAAAAAATTAAAAAAGAGCAAATAATATAAGAAATAAATCAGCTTTGAAATGAAGAAAGTAGTAAAAAAGAATTTTAGAAAAGATTAAGTATTAGTAGTTATAAACCTGCAAAAACGATTAATATTATTGTTATTATTATTATTATTATTATAGTTATTAATAGAATTTTATTTTTATCGTTAGTATTACTATTATTTTGATTATTATTACCAATAACTGGAGTTTTTATTATTATTGTCTATTATTATTACTGATACCTATATTACTATATTATTTATGTTGTTACTGTATATTATTATGATCTACTTCTCTTTTATTGCTATATTTTTTTAAGGTAAGTATTTATATACTTTTTTAAGTTTGTTTTACGTTTTTTTTTTCTTTTTTTTTTAATTTCTTATTATGGTGTTTACTTAAAGTTAGTACTTGTACTATATGTAAATATTCCATGAAATATAAAATCTATTTCAGAACACATTTGATTTGATTTGATTATAGCCTGTTTTTATTTGCTAAGCAATTTTTTATTTTCGTCGCGTTAGTGCTCCACCAGTTAAGTTCGCATAACTTAAGTAGCAATGAATAAAAGAAAAGTAAATGGTTTTTTAAACAAGATTGATTTAATAACTGCTTAGGTTTGTACATTATACCTAAATTTTTTGATATTTTATCTTTAACTACACCTATATGTTCACTCCAGGTTACATTTTCTCCCAGAAACACGCCTAAAAATTTAATTGATTTCTCTTTCTCTTTATTAATTTATTATCAATAAAAAGGTCCGGAAGTTCTAAGGGAATAGCTGATTTTTTATGTAGACGATGGAATAAAGTGTATTGTTTTTTAGTAATATTTAAAAATAATTTGTTTAATTTAAACCATTGGGTTAGTTTATCTAGTTCTTTGTAAAGAACTAGATAAACTAATCCAATGGTTTTGGGTTAGTTTATCTAGTTCTTAAAACTTTGTAGTACTGTTTATAATATTATATTGATATCTTAATTGGAATAAAAAAAGCTGGTATTATCTGCAAACAAAATTATATTGAAAGTGTTAGAAAATTTATTTAAATTATTCATATAAACGAGAAATAGAAGTGGTCCTAAAATTGATCCTTGAGGAACACCACACTTAGTTGTCAAATAATTAGTTTTTCCTTCATCATATATTATATACTTCTTCCTATTAGTCAAATAGCTCTCGCACCAGGACAAGTTCGTATTTTTTATACCATAAATATTGAATTTCAAAAAAAAGATTCAAATCTCTCCTTTAAACCAACGAAGAACTTGAGTGTCCGCTAAGATAAAAATCTAAAAATCTAAACGTTGCTATGCCTATAGGCATAGCAACGTTTAGATGCGATGAGAAAAAAAGCACAAAAACTAGTTAACGGAGCTGGCTAACAAAGGAATTTTAACTAAAAAAATTATTGGAGCGTTTAATTTAGCCTAAACGAAAGGATTAGAATACCATTTACTTTCCTCCATTAATACATTTACTTTCCTCCATTTTATAACTGGCTGTTTAGAGTTTTTATTTTAGCAGACACTCAAATTCACTATAATCAAAAGACAATGTTGTTTGTATGAATGAAATTCCATCAAGTTTTCCCTAATTTTCTTTCTTCTTCTTTTTTTTTTAAATATTTTAATATATCCGTTGAGTATCAAATCACATTTATATAGACTAGTCTAGATTGGTTTGTCTACTAACTCTAACCTCTCAGTTGTATTCATGTTTGGTTTTTCAGATCTCAATTAAGATTTTGTTTATCACATTTTTTTGCCATGATTTCATTTTTTTTTTTTTAATTTGTAATTTGAGTGTTCCATTAATTTAATTGATTTGTGATTTGATTGTATTTTTACTGTTTTTTTTTTGATTAAATTTATTTTGATTTCGCTGGTTAATAGTAAATTAAAAAACAAAGTTTAACTTGATCTGATCTAAAACAAAACAAACAAAAGAGTTTTTAGTTCAGTCGGTAATAATTTTATCATTAACCAAATGACATTGCATCAACATTGGTTTTGCATTGGAAAAAAGAGCCGACGTTCGCGATGGTTTTACATACGTTGGCTCAATTTTTTTTTTTTTTTTTTTTTTATATATAATTTAGCCGTACAAATATTTACAAGTTCCGTAATTTAAAATATTTAAAAATGGCAAGGACGAGAAGAAGACGGGGTTGTCTTATCACCAAGTCCCTTGTTTGTCTAGACATTTATATAAATACATGGTAACTAAAATGAAAATTTAAAAATTAAGAAAAAAGCAAAATATTACAAAGAAGTTTATATAAAATGCCAAATAGTTTAATAGTTCAAAGTTTCGAAAGATATTTTTTCGATTTTATTTTTTGAAAGAAAAATTTAAAAGTTCATTCAGAAAAACAAAAATATCAAAAA